TGGGGCCTGCAGGCCACAGAAGGTCGGATGTGGCAAAGCCATCAGGCAAGCAGCTCTTGAAGGAAGTGGGCCAAGTGGTTTTGAGCAGAGCTGGGGCTTGAACTTATCACATTAGCATGCTGAGCCTCAGTTTCCTCGTGGAAGATGGGACTTATAACGTGAGCCACCCACACCCATGTGGTGACATAACGCGTAGTCAAGGGCTTAATACACTGCTTGGCACATCCAAAGCACTGAAAAAAAAATTATTAGTAGTATTATCCAGTCAAGGTCTCACTCTGCCATTGGGCTGGAGTGCAGTGGCATGATCATAGTTCACCGCAGCCTCAACCTCCTGGGCTCAGGCAATCCTTCTGCTTCAGCCTCCTGAATAGCTAGGACAACAGGTATGTACCACCACACCCAGCTAATCACTTTCTTGTTTGGTTTTTTGTAGAGACGAGGTCTCTCTATGTTGCCTGGGCTGGTTAACACATTTTTACCATTAGGATGCCTTCAGCTTTCTTGTCTCTCAGTCTAATGTCATCATACCCTGAAGTCAGTTTATTTTTTATTGTTTCGAGTCAAATGCTCATAGCCACCGCAGCCTCAACTTGCTAGGTTCAGGTGATCCTTCCACCTCGGGCTTCCGAGTAGCTGGAACCACAGGAGTGCAACTCCATGCCAGGCTAATTTTTGGATTTGTTGTAGAGATGAGTTTTCACCAAGTTTCCCAGGCTAGTCTCAAAACCCTGAGCTCAGGCAATCCTCTCAACTCCACCTCCCAAAGTGCTGGGATTATAAGCATGAGCCACTGCACCCAGCCCTTAAGACTGAACAGCATTGCTGTGAATGGGATGCTTGTATGTTCCCCAAATCTTGAAATGTTGGAGCCTAATCCCCAAATGTGATGGCATTTGGAGATGGGACCTTTGGAAGGTGTGAGGTCATGAGAGTGGAATCTTCATGAATGGGATTAGTGCCTCATAAGAAGAAACACAAGAAGGGTATGAACCTCTCTCTCTCTCTCTGCTATGCAATAATAGCAATAATACCATAAACCTGGCAGTGGCTCTTGTCAACCCAACTGTGCTGGCCTGATCTTGGACTTCCCAGCCTGCAGAGCTGTGAGAGATACATTTCCATAGTCAAAGCCACTCAGTCTAAGCAGCCCAGGCTGACTGAGACAAGGAGATACTCTTTTACTCGACTACTCAAATCAACTCTTCGTCGATAAGAGTATATTGAACGTTGCTGCTTGGAATAGCTACGGATTGACACACAGTAATCTCACAAGAAAGTACCACAAGTTTTTTGTTTTGTTTTTTTGGTTTTTTGAGTTGGATACTCACCCTGTTGCCCAGGCTGGAGTGCAGTGGCACACTCACGGCCACTGCAGCCTCAACCTGCTGGACTCAGGTGATCCTTCCACCTGAGCCTTCAAAGTAATTGGAAACACAGGCACATGCTACCACACCCGGCTAATTTTTTAATTTAGTGTAGAGACTAGGTCTCACCAAGTTGTCCGGGCTGGTCTTGAAGCCATGGGCTCAGGCAGTCCTCTCATTTCGGCCTCCCAAAGTGCTGGGATTTCAGGTGTGAACCACCGCACCCAGCCTATTCAACACAACTTTATTCAGCTTCACAATCTTCCCTGTGCTGGGCCCTTGGGACACTGAGGTGACCAGGAGGCAGCGCTACTTTCAAGAACGCGTCATTTAGCAGGGGAGACAGACTCTGGCCAGCTCAGTATCTGCCAGGTCCTACCCCTGGGGAGGGTTCACACATAAACTCCTCATCCCAGGTGGGAAGGTTCCAGGCGGAGCATGAAGCTTGGCTTCTGCCACCAGGCAGAAGTCTCCTCCGTGCATCCTTGCCTGGGTGACGGCACAGCCATTGGACCGTGCCCTCCTGGCCTTCCCGTCCTCCTCCACTTCCAACAATGAACCATCTCCTCTTCCCTCACTTAGAATTGGGCACCTAAACTGGGCTTGGTGGCTCAGCCTGTAATCCCGCGCCTTTGGAAGGCTGAGGTGAGTGGATTGCCTGAGCCCGCGGGTTTGAGACCCACCTGGGCAGCGAGACCTCATCTCTACAATAAATCAAAAAATCAGCTGGGCGTGGTAGCACATGCCTGTAATTCTGGCTACTTGGAAAGCTGAGGCGGAAGGATCGCCGGAGCCCAGCAGGTCGAGGCTGCGGTGGCCGGGAGCAGCCACTGCACTCCAGTCTGGGCGACAGAGTGAGACTCCAACTCAAAAAAACAACAAAAAAAGAGAATTGGACACCTGGGCCCTTCCCACTTTCGGATACCCACTCCCATCTCTCTTCAACAAGAAGGAAAGAAGAGTTTGAGGGACTGCCAGTTTTAGTGAATAGAAATTCGTTCCTACTAACGTCAGAGATCACTCCCTCCCCTCAAAGACTGCCTTGGAAAATCTGCACTCATTATTTAAGACTCTGTGTGTTGGGGAGAGTGAGAGGATGTCAGGGATGTCAGAGGATGTGAGCTCCCAGCTCCTCCCAGCCTGCTCAGTTGTCAAGGCCCCCAACCCTCAGCAAGTCCAATACCAAGGGCTGGAGACGGTGCCCTCGAGTCATGGGACACAGGTGCCACAGAGGTAAGGACAAGTCACGGACTGCAAGGCAGAGATCTGGGTAAGGGCAGCCGTGTTAACCCCAGGGCATCGGGGCAACCCTCCCACCACAGACCAAGACCCAGGGTCCAGGTCTTTTACAGGTGTGGATGACAGGAGAGAGGACAAGGAGGAAACAGTGTGGGTGTGAGCACACTTGGGTTTTTTGTTTTTGTTTTTTGAGATAGAATCTCACTCTGTCTCCCAGGTTGGAGTGCAGTAGCACGATCATGGCTCACCGTATCCTCGACCTCATGGTGATCCTTCTGCCTCAGCCTCCTGATGGAACGACAGATGTGTGCCACCATACCTGGTTCAGTTTTTTAATTTTTGTAGAGACGAGGTCTGGCTACATTGCCCAGGCTGGTCTCGAACTCCTGGGCCCAAGGGATCCTCCCGCCTTAGCCTCCCAAATTGCTGGGATTACAAGTGTGAGCCTTCATACCTGGCCTTGGTTTGGACACTGATTATAGCTATAAAAATTGACCACACAAGAAAACAGAGACCAGGTTTGGTTCTGTCAACATAAGTCTAATCACAGTCATTTATGCCAACATCCTTACTTTTTGTGGTGAGCAGCCATATCACCCCGTAACAATGATGTACTTTCAGAAACATGGCTCAGAGTGTTTCTACGTTTTATTTGATTAGGGCAGGGAAGGGTAACTCTGGGTGCCAGTCTTTGCCATGTCTACCTCAAGTCACATAGTCTTTTTTCTCAACTTTAACAGATGGGCAACATCATTGTTTTTAAGTTATTAGAACAGGGTTTGAGGGATGTATGTGTGTGACAGAGAGAGAGACAGAGAGAGAGAGAGAAGGACAGAGACAGACAGAGAAATAGAGAGAGACAGAGACAGAGAGACAGAGAGATAAAGACAGAGAGAGATTGTGTATGTGCGTCCCTATTTAGTTACTATTTCCTCTGATAACTTTTGTTATCAGAGCAATTGCTATTCCCTGTGTTTGGAATGTGGTTTTGTTTTTCACTCGAGGGCTTCATATTCATGAAATTGTGAGGCTTGTAAATTCCACCCTCTGCCCTCCCAACACATAAACACACATGTAGACACCCACTCAGTTATGCCAATGACACCCTACAATGACTGAATTATGCAGCCGGGCCAGCTCCATTTAGAGCTCACATGAGAGCAGTTAGGTCACGTGGATGTCACGCGGTGCTCTGAGCTGCTGTCTCAAGAGCCTGTGGCCGCATGGGAATCCCATGTCAGAAGCAGCAGTTCCTGGCAGAAAGGGGACTCCTGGCTCTGCGCCAAGCCCTGCTGCTGTCCCTTGGGGCAGTCCTACATGCTGCCTGAAAGGGCTTGCCTCGGTCTGTCCTGGTGAATGAAAGAGGGATGCTTAGTGCACGACTGGTGCTCCCCGAGGGAGAGGGGTTATCATCAACAAACGCCTTTTTGTAATTACAGAGAGATGTAGTGATATTGGAATTACCAGGGGTAGCATTGGAATAGCTCAAGAAATTGTGGTTTGAATACAACCCTGAATAACAGGCAGTGAGAGAATGAACTGCTGGGATCCGTTTATGTCCATTTTATCATCGGAACACCTCGTAAGGTCCAGCAGGCAGGTGGGTTCCACAAAATGTCTACTTCAGGCGAAAAGAGTAACACGACACACCTATGACAGAGCACTGCAAGGTCACTTCACCCACAGAGCAAGTGAGGTTTCTGGTATGTAGGAAAAGATTTTCCAAGTGGAAAACTCATTATATACAAAAGCAATACATGTTATTTAAATAAAATGTGTCCTTAAATATGGAAGTCTCTGGAAAACCCACTTTACTGTCCAAAATTATGGAGACCATTTTAGTTTTTAACTGAAGATGAAATATTTGCTGCAGCTTCCCAAGGAATTCTCTGTTCCTTCTTTCTTTCTGCCTTTCTTTCTTTCTCCCTTTCTTTCTTTTACATGGGGTCTTGCTCTGTGGCTGGAGTGCAGTAGCACGATCATAGCTCACGGCAGCCTCGAACTCCAGGGATCAGGTGCCTCAGCCTACCAAGTAGCTAGCACTACAGGCACATGCTACCACGCCTGGCTAATTCTTTTATTTTCTGTAGAGACAGGGTCTCACTGTGTTGCCCAGGCTGGTCTTGAGCTCCTCATCTCAAGAGATCCTCCTTCCTTAGCCTCCCAAAATGCTGGTGTGAACCACCACACCAAGAGATTTTCTAATTGGACCGGGCAAGGGGTTGGTTTGTAGAGTGTAGTTAGTGAAGATAACCAGTTGCCAAGCCTTGTTAAAAACCTGTATCCAAAAGAAACCTGAGATCTACCAGAAAGAGCACCCGCCCTTCCTGGCGGGATCGCTCTGCCTCTGCCTGTCCGTCTTTGGGGTGAGTCCATAAGCATCAAGCGAAGTCTCTCAAGGTTCAGAAGATCTTGCACTCGTTGATAGAGAAGAGTCTCCTTCTGTTCCGCCTCCGGGCCTGGTTGACGGCCGTGCGGACGGCACACTCGAACACCTGCTGCACGCCCCGGTTGCTGAGGGCTGAGCACTCCAGGTAGCCCTTGGCTCTCACGTCCTGGGCCAGCCTCTTGCCTTCGACGGCGTTGATGCAGGAGGCCCTGTGGGGCCCCACCTCCCGCTGGTCGGTCTGGGTGGCCACCACCAGCACGGGGGTGCAGGGCAGGTTACTCCTGACTTCTCCGATCCACTTGTTCTTCAGGTTCAGGAAGGAGCTGTGGTTGGCCACCGAGTAGCACAGGAGCACCACATCGGCCTGCTGGTAGGACAGTGGGCGGATGCTGCGGAAGGCGTCGTTGCCCGCGGTGTCCCAGAGGCCCAGGCTGATCTGGATGCCGTCCATGAAGACGTCCACGCCCGTGTTCTCATACACCGTGGGCTTGTAGGCCTCCGGGAAGGTCTCGGAAGTGAAGCGCACCAGCAGCGAGGTCTTGCCCACAGCCGAGTCACCCACCAGCACGCACTTGATGGAGCTCAACATCTTCCCAGCCCAGCGTCCTCTGCGCACATCCAGAGTCCCGAGGAAAGGCACCCTCAGTGGGCCGCAGAAGCCAGCGCCATGCAGCGAGGGCGGGAAAGCCAGTTGGGACTGTGTGCTCAGACTCCTGATAGCAACCTGCAGAATGTCACTTCTGCCTGCTCATTTGAAGGAAATGCACCGTCCACACTGAAAACCTCCAAGGCCGAGTCTTCAACTGAACGGAAAAAAAAGGGGGGGAGAAATTAGCCTTTCTTTTTATCCTTATTTGATGCAGGGGTGCTTCCTCACTGGCAAGCTGACTAAATGTGGGGCCCACCCCAGGGCAGCTGCCTGACCCCACTTGGGCAACCCTGCTCGCCCCCTTGGCAGGGGAAGCTTAGATCTGTCCCCAACACACACAGCCACACACCTCCCATTCAAGAAGCAGAGGCTGAGATGGGCATGCCTGTAATCCCAGCACTTTGGGAGGCCAAAGCGGGAAGATCGCTTGAGCCCAGGAGATCAAGACCAGCCTGGGTAACAAAGCCAGACCTCGTCTCTACAGAAAATTTTAAAGATGAGCCAAGCGTGGTGGCGCCTGCCTGTAGTCCTAGCTACTCAGGAGGCTGAGGTGGAAGGATTGCCTGAGCCCAAGAGGTTGAGTCCGTGGTGAGCCGAGATCATGCCACTGCACTCCAGCCTGGGTGACAGAGTGAGACTCCGATGCAAAAAAAAAAGAAAAAGAAGCAGAAGCTGATTTATTTTATCTCTAAAAACACAAGCAACTGCTCCGATCGCAACACAAAAAAGACTCCAGGCAACCTGGTGTGGGAAGGAGACGTTTCCAGATGGCTTTCTTGGCTCCTGCTCCAAGAGGCGGGAAGGCAGCTGTGCACGCACTCCGAGGCTCCTGTTTCTAATGGAGTCCAGCCACTCTGGGAGCTGCAAGAAACAGAAACTCAATGAGAGACAGACTCTATCTGCATTGCCCTTCATCCGTGATTAATCATGCAGTCCTCGGTTTAGGTGGGGATTTGTGTTGTGGTCAGAGAAAAGAAATCCCCAGAACTCTGGTTGGACAAGATGGCTCATACCTGTAACCCCAGCATTCTGGGAGGCCAAGGCAGGAGGATCACTTGAAGCCAGGAGTTCAAGACCAGCCTGAGCAACATAGTGGGACTCCTGTCTCTACAAAAAAATTTTTTTTTTAATTAGCTGGGCATGGTGGCACATGCCTGTAGTCCCAGCTACTTGGGAGGTTGAGGCTGAAGGACCCCTTGAGTCCAGGAATTTGAGGCTGCAGTGAGCTTTGACTGTGCCAGTGCACTCCAGCCTGAGTGACAGAGCAAGACCCTGTCTCTAAAAAATAAAAAATAATAATAAATTTTAAAAGAAATCATCAGAACTCTAAAAAAAAATTTTTTTTTTTGGAGTAAGAGTATCACTCAGTCGCCCAGACTAGAGTGCAGTGGCACACTCACGGCCACCGCAGCCTCAACCTGCTGGACTCAGGCGATCCTTCTGCCTCAGACTCCCAAGTAGCTGGAACTACAGGTGTGTGCCACCATGCCCAGCTAATTTTTAAAAATTTATTGTAGAGCTGTAGAGGCTAGTCTCAAACCTCTGGGCTCCGGCAATCCTCTCACCTCCAGCTCCCAAATTTGCTGGGATGAAAGGCATGAGCCACCACGCCCAGCCAGAACTCTAAAAATTTGATGGGGTTTGAGATTTTCCCCCAAACGGGCCATGGACACAGTGGACGAGCTTTGGAGTTTGTCTGCACCTGAAAGCAGGGTCCACCCACCCAACAGCAGGGCTCTGAGCGTGATACTTCAACCCACACCTCAGCTCACACCAGCAAGCCTGGGGTCCACTCGGGAAGCACTGTTCCAAGGTGCTGGGAGGATTTAACAGGTGGGTGGCCGTCTGTGAGTCGGGAACTCTGCTAGGCCCGGGATCACCAAGACAACTCGTTTGAAAGTCACCATATTTGGTGCCTGTCACAGAAACAGCGCTGCCTGATATGCCAGAACCTTTCTTGAAAGGGCCGGACACATTCTCATTCCCCGCAGGTCAGAGAGTTTCAGACAGTGAGCTCAGCCTTGGAGACAGTCTTCACAAGGCTGGCCAGTACCTGCCAAAGAAAGGGCTTTCAGACCAGAATTCAGAGTCGAGGTTATTCCTGCTATCTGAGCTTTAATCTGCTCATGCTGGCAATCTCCCTGACATGTGACGTGTAAAGCCAAATAAAGCGAATCTACAGCTCTGCTTCAAGGTGTACTTTTTTTTTTTTTGAATTGGAGTCTCACTCTGTCGCCCAGGCTGGAGTGCAGTGGCACGATCACGGCCACTCCAGCATCGACCTGCTGGACTCAGGCAATCCTTCCACTTCAGCCTTCCAAGTAGCTGGAACCACAGGTGTGCACCACCACACCCAACTAACTTTTTGATTTTTTTTTTTGTAGAGATGAGGTTTCACTGTGTTTGCCCAGGCTGGTCTCAAACTCCAGGGCTCAAGGAATCCTCCCGCCTCAGCCTCCCAAACCGCTGGAGTCATAACCACACCTGGCTAGAGTTTCATGTTTTTAAATAATAAGCAGGGTGACCACGCCCAAGTCATGTAACCTCTCCAAGTCTTGATTTCCTCATACAAATGAAAACAAGGGCCGGGCTCAGTGGCTCATGCCTAGAATCCCAGCACTTTGGGAGGCCAAGGTGAGAGGATTGCCTGAGCCCGCGGGTTCAAGACCAGCCTGGGCAACTTGGCCAAGACCTCACCTCTACAGTAAATCAAAAAATTAGCCAGTGTGGTGGCATGCGCCTGTAGTTCCAGCTACTTGGAAGGCTGAGGCGGAAGGATCGCCTGAGCCCAGCAGGTCGAGGCTGGTGGCTGCTAGCATGCCACTGCACTCCAGCCTGGGTGACAGAGTGAGACTCTGACTAAAAAAAAAAAAAAAAAAATGTCAAATATAGAATGTCCACAGCATAGGGGCTGGATGCTGAACATTTGGTGGAACTCTTTCTGAAGATGCACGTGGGTTACTCTCATGCACGATGGTCCTGGACGCCATTTGTCACCAGACCTCTGAGGAAGGACTCCCTAGGAGCTCTATAGGCTTCCAGTCAGACTTTGGATCCTGAGTCCAAGAGATGACTTAAATATGTGCATTCATGACTTAGTGCAGAGTCAAGACCTCTCAAGACTTTTTTTCCTCTCTAAGAGACGGGGTCCTGCTATGTTGCCCAGGCTGGTCTCGAACTCCTGGGCACAAGCTATCCTCCCGCCTCGGCCTTCCAAAGTGCTGGAATTACAGGTATGAGACACTGCACCTGACTCAAGGTATTTTTCAGTTTTACTTTGATTCCAATGCAGTGGAGCCAAGGTTAGGAAAGATGTGCATATGTCAGAGTTTCAGTTATTTAAATAAAATCTCTCTAATAAACTGATTGAGTTAAAGCCAAGTTTCCTGAGTTAATATCTGCAAAAGGAAGTCAGTGAGGCAAAATTGTGAAGAACGTGGCCTTTAAAAGCCAGGCAGTCCTGGAATTGAATCCAAGCTGTGCAGCCGATTCCCCATGTGATGGCTTTGCAAGATTTTCTTAACCTCCCTAAGCCTCAGTTGCTTCCTCTGTAAAGTGGACGCAATAATTTCTGCATCATGGGATCATGGGGTTGTGGAGAGTATTAAGTGTGCTTAGGTGTGTACAATTCTTGGCAGAGTGCATCATGTGAACATACTATATGTGCATCGTAAACACATAGTAAATACCCAGTAAGGAGTCCCTAGTAATAACATTGACAAATAATAATTACCAAATATAGGCTAGGTGGGAAGGCTCACGCCTGTAATCCCAGCACTTTGGGAGGTCGAGGTGGGAGGATTGCTTGAGCCTAGGAGTTTGAGCCTGGACAACATAGTGAGACCCCCACCCCTCTCTACAACAAAATTTTAAAACCAGCTGGGTGTGCTGGCACTCGTCTGTAGCCCAGCTACTTGGAGGCTGAGGCAGAAGGATTAGCTGAGCTCAGGAGGTGAGCTGTGATGCACTGCCAGTATGGGCAACAGCCTGAGACCCCCAACTGAAAATAAAATAAAATAAAATAAGATTATCACTGCAGGGTTTGGGTTAGCTGGGCTTTGGCGGAGGTGGCTTACTTCAAAATGTTGATGGGATCCTCCACTGTCTTTTTTCAAAAATCTGAGCCCTGGCAGCCACAGCTGGGGTGGCCCATCAATGACAGAGAATCTGTCCAAGAGTCATCCTCTTCACAGAGCCTTGGACCAAAGCCCTGGCGGTAGCAGTTCATGCGTCCATTAAGCAATTGCTTCTGCCCTGTGAGTCTGACATGGAAGATAGGGAAGGTCACTAGGAAGTCTCCGTCCCAGCAGCCCCTCCAGCTGGCCCAGCCCTGCAGCCACTCACAGGCTGGCTAGCCTTTACAAACCAGGGCAGGCCTTGCCCAGCCGTGGACCAGCGGGTGGGCTCATTGCTTTGCGTCTGTGGCTTTTTCTTGGGGGGCAGGGGAGCAACTCAAAAAATCGTAATCATAACAGAGAGGAAACGTGACCATTTCTAAGCCTCACCACTGCAAATTCATGCAGTTTTCATTCTCTAAGAAGCACGCACTTGTTTATGTCCTCTCAACCACTTTCAGATGAAAAAACACTTTATTTCAACATCGTCTACCTCAGCCGTCTCCAGCCTTTTCGGCATCAGAAACCCGTTTCGTGGAAGACAATTTTCCCGCGGACGGGGGAGGGGCCGCGGTGGGGGTGGAGGGAGGGAGGTGAGTGGGCGGGGCCGGGGAGCGGGGCCGGCAGGTTCGCTGGCGGGGCTCACCGAGCATTCGGCTCCCCCAAGGAGCGGCAGCCAGATGCCGCGCAGGCGCAGTTCACAGGAGAGTTCGCGCACGGATGAGAGCCTAGCGTCGCGGCCGACCTGACAGCAGCCGAGCTGTGCTCGCCGCTGCGGTTCACCTGCTTTGCGGCCCCTGGTTCCTAACAGGCCACAGGTCTATGGCCCCTGGGGTTGGTAGACCCCTGGTTTACACT